TAAACATTAACAATCATTTAAAAAATAACTAGTTCTTTCTTTTTTAACAAACTTTTTTTATCCCAAATCTGTAAAAAATTTCCAATTTGTCTTCAGTATTTAATTCAGTTAGTGAAAGAAAAAAAAGTTTTTCTTCTAATTGGTAGAAATAAAATCAAACAAAAAAACTTTTTTTTCTTTAAATAAAAGTTAAGGACTCGTATATGAAATGAAACATAACCCTCCAAGAGAGCTTGTTTATTGTTACAGTTATCTCAAAGAAAAACCCAGAAGTAAAATTAAAAAACGTGACATCCAGGGAGAGAAGTAATCAATATCATTAATTAAACTAAACAGTAAGATTTTTCTTTTGTATCAATTTTCTAAAAACTGTAGATTTCCGTTTACGAAAATTGGACATAACGGTAGCCTTCAAAAAGTCAGAATAAATTTTGGCATTGAAGAAAGAATTTTTACAATCTGACTTCTAAAATTGGGTTTGTGCTGAAAAGAAACCCAACAATGGAAAAAAAAAAAAGTTACTCAATCATTCAATGGTCATGGCTTCTTATTCTTATTTTCAATCTTGAGGAAGGTCGATGAATTCATCAACCAATATGTTCTGTCTAAAACAATAAAGATAAGGATACTAGTCTGAAAAATGCCTGGAGTAATCATGGCATTTCAAAATTATAGACAATAACAGCCAGAATCCATTTTTGTAAGTTCAATAAAATTAAAAATGCTTGGAAACAATGAAACAAAAGTTTCTTTGTTAATCTTTCTTTTAAAACTAAACACGTTTTTTTCCTTCCTGCAAATGGAGAATTCTAAGATGACAAAGAAAGAGAAATATTAAATTTTGGGATGAAATTTTGGTTTGTTAAGAAAAGAAAACTATTCGCTTCGTTATCCTTATCAATTTGATAAAAAGCATTTTTCTAAATAAAACATCAAAATCTGAATTTAAAAAAAGATTATCGATATACACACAAAAAATTGAATTTAATCTGAAGAAAAATTATTATTTTTTATTTATTTATTGATTATTATTTTAAATTCAGGTGACAGGAATTACCCTCACCCCAAATCATTAAAACTTAATAAATAAAAATAAAATTCTTTGTTGATTTAAATTTTAAAACTGCTAGAGTTATTTTATGAACTTTAAGAAAGATCAACAAGGAAATTAAATTATTTAAAAAAAAAAATGATGGCTTTTTAACTGATTCCAGAAACAAAGAAAAAGTCGAGTAATGCAAAAATAATGTAGAAAGAATTTGTCCTAAAAAGAAATATCTAGAAAAATTACAAGTGTATAAAATTCCAAAATGCGTTTAAAAAGGATAACTTTATTTTCTTTAATATTTTTTTATTCAATTCTAAAAATAAATCTATTTTCTTTTCCTCTTTTCCCCCCGCAAATACTGAGTAAGGTTTTCTTTATCTTCTAAATTAAACATCATCAAAGATCTGAATTAAGTAACAACAGACAATGAAAACTAAAAGTGAAACTATGAGACGACAGACATGAAATTGAGAAATTTTAGAAACTTTAGATAATCATAAAACTAAAAGAAAATATTTGCTTCTTTTTTTTTTTTTTAACACAGTAAGACATTTAATAAAGGTAACTTTTAAATTTTAATTTAATTTTTTAATGGCATTTTATTTTTTTTTTACTTATTTTTATTTACCTTAAAAATGTTTTCTTATTTTAGCCCAAAAATATGTCTCTAAAATAATTTATTTTACCTTAACATAAAGAAAGAGATATTTAAAAAAAAGTCAAACAATTCTTTCAAGGACATTTTCCCTTTTACGGAGAAAATAAATTTTAATAGACAATTAAAAAAAGGTTATTTATCTTTAGTTAAAATAATTTTAAACAAAAATATAATTTTTGGAAAGTAAATAAAGCTAAACAAAAAATCCCTTTCCTGTGTTATTTCTAATCTTAAAGTAGAAATTTTTTTTCTTTTTATTTCCATTCCAAGATGTTCCTTTTCTTGTCAGTTTGGTTAAAGTTTTCTAAAAATCAAGGGAAGGCGGGAAAAGTTCTGAATAATAAATATTTAATTTGATTTCAGCGGGAAAAAATAAACTGTCAATATAAATGTTTACTAAAGGAAAAAAGATATGAACTCACCTGTGCCCCCAAAACTGAAACTGAAATTAAGGTAAGGACAACAAAGAGTTGATTTTGTTTACAAATAGTTTCAAGTTTAACTTAAAAGGTTTATATATTATGATCGTTGATTCACAAGAGTTGAGTAGACGGCGATAGTAGGTGTGTGCGCGTGTATGTGTTGTAAACTGTATGCGTTGAAAATGTATTGAAATGGACATAAAAATAATCTGAACTGAAAAAAGACAGGTGGGTAAAAATTTATCAACACCTAGGTGAACTGATTACTTTTTTTTTTTTTTTACTCCAATGCTTAAAATTTGCAAAAAAAATCTTTTATGTCCATGTATATAATGCATATGTCTTATATAAACGTAAACAAGAAGCAGCTGTATTGTGTTGTTGTTGTCAATTGAGGTTCAATGTGGAAATGGATGTTGTTAACAACTAGAGATGTACTCCTTCAAATTGTAAAGTAGTCGATGAGGAAGGTAGCAAGCAAGGTTGAATATAGTGAATGAAAGAAAGAATGAAATAAAGAAAGAAAAGCAAGTAAGAGGGAACCCAGAAGAATGATAAACACTAAACAACATGAGAAAAAGAAGGAAAGATGTGTGTATATAATTGGGGGAGGAGATAGAGAAGAATTTAAGACGAAAGTCTTTTTTCTCTTCTTACATGTTAAGACTAAGAAACAGAAGGTGGGGGAAGATACAAACAGCTACAGACTGGGAAAGACAGACAGTGAGTAAAAACAGAGAGGGCGAGAGAGAGGAAGGAGGGAGAAGGCGAGAGGAGAAGAGTCGTATAGAGAGGGGAGAATCAATTGAGAAGCTAACCGTAGCAACAAAGGGAGTAAAATGAGAGAGTAATTTATCGAACGCTAGAAATAGGCGAATTACACACACGCACTTTACCATCATGACAAAATCAGCTTGTCTTTGCAATCGTCTAAGCATTTTAATAAACATTTTTAATTCTAATTGCTTATTCTTTCCTTCTTAAACGTTTCTTTCCTTAAAGTAGAACTAAAATAAATGCCCCCAAAATAAAGAATTATTAATTCAATGATTGAATTTCAATCTCAGATTTTTAAGATAGTCAAACCTGAAAAACGGTTTTTTCTACATTTTTATTTTAAACAATTAGTTTTTATTTTCAATAACGGTTTAGACTTAAACAAGTGCGTATCTCTCAACCTTTTTGTCACTTAAAGTTTGTATTTGTTACCATAAAGCATTTTGTAAAACAAACTTTCTGCTTTTTACTTGAAAATAACACTTACCTGTACAAATATATACGATAATCAAGTCGATAGATACTTCTTAGTTTAATTTTTTTTTAAATATTAATTTTGGTTTTTAGTAAAGAAAAATGAAATGGTGATTAAAAAAATATACATTTTATTTTTCTATTGTTTTAAAAAATATATCTCTGCCCAAATCATCAAGATAATTAAAAAATAATTCTTGTCGGAATTTTTTTGATAAGAAGAAATCTTGCTATTCAGAGTTCATCTTCATCCTCTTGGGCATCACATTCGCATAAACCATGATGGTCCGAATAGTGAAAGCATATAATAATAATAAAATCTTAGTTATTTACTAGCTTTGAAAACATTAACATTTTCCAGTTTCTAATCACTAAAGCTAGTAGTAGCAATAATAGTAATAAAAATAGCAAATTCTTTTTACTACTACAGCTGCTGCTTGTACAATTACATTTTTTTTTTCATTGTACCGTCTTCCTCCTCCTCCTCCTTCTCTTCTTCCTCCTCCTCCTCCGCCTCCGGTTCTTTCATTAAGCCTCCCCTTCCTGCAACTCTAATTGTCAGCCATCTGCCACCACTCCCACTTCGTCGTTAGGTCTACCAGCTGCTACGGCCGGCAGAAGTGTGTGTTGCTTGCAAAGGAAGAAAAGATACGACGACGAAGAAGGATTGAGAGAATAAGAGAGTGAATTGAAGCCATTCCTTGTCTTTATCGATAATAATAATAATAATAACAGGAGAACTCCCCCCAAAAGAAAACACAACAAGGGGGTAAAGCAGTGGAGTGCCTTTTTCCCCCCTTTCACCCTGCCCGAGCAGACAGCCTAACCAACTGTCACGATTCACAACAAACAGAGAATAATAATAATAATAATATTAATAATAATTATAATACCACTACTTTGTTACTACTACTACTAGTAGTAGTAGTAGTAACAACATACACACACACATAGAAAGATAGGTAGGTAGGTAAATTGTATTAAGTGTGTAGGCTAGTGATATACACACGAGGCAGCTACATCGACCGAATTCATTTATATTGTTAGTGAGAGGCGAAACACCAACGTCGATGGTCAGTTGCTTAAAAAAGAAAACAATAAATTCACTCATACACACGTGAGTGTGTAACCCAACAGTAACACACACGCACACACATATATATATATATATATTTATATATATATATATATATATATATATGTATGTATGGTTCCATCTATGTATATAAAGATTTATACATACATACATGCACACATGCGATCAGGCCTTTTTTTATATATCCAAGATCTGAGAAATATTTACCACTGACGGAGAAGTAAATTGAAGACAACCAAAGGACGAAGAAAGAAAAAAAAAAGGAGAGATACCAATTTTTAAGGAGGGAAAGAAAAAGTCTTTTTTTTTTTTTTTTTTTATTGGAAGAAACTCTCTTAAAAAAAAAAAAAAGTTTTGGATGTTTCTTTTGCTTGGATTTCAAAATAAGGAGAAAGGTTATAAAATCTATTCCCCACCCCCCAAAAAATAATCCCTAATCTCCACCCCACCAAAAAAAAAGAGGAAAAAAAAATTTAAAAAAAAAAAAAAAAAAAAAGGCAACAAAGTCCGAGTTTTTACTTCAAAATGGAGGGCGCCTTCTCTTTTGCTGTTATTTTCCTGGCTTTCTTTTTACACGCCTCAGGTAAGCAACAAGGAATCATAACAATCTATTCGTTTATTTCCATCATTCTTCATCTCTAACAACCATTTTCTTGATTTTTATTTCCAATTTTCCTCTCGATTTTCTACTATTTTTCCTTCTGCCTTGTTCAGTCTTTTTAATCTTGTCGTCATTACCGATTTGTAAAATGTTGCTGGGACCCTGACAATCCTCTTCTTCTTTTTACAGTTCACATTTAATTTCCCCGAAAATATCCTCTTTCAAATCATGTATTAAGTCTTCGTTAATTATATACAAGACATTTATTCCAATCATTTTCGCCTTGTTTTTCTTTATATATATATATATATATATATATAAAAACAAAAAACGATGCCGTATTCTTGCTTAAATGTTTCAAATGATTACCAAAATGTTTCTCACCGTTTTAAAAATGTTAAGACATTTTATCGTAACTTTTCGATTCTTATTGTAACTAAAAATTAACTAAAATTGTGTTTTAGTTTTCTAAATGTTTAAAACATTTTTCTTTGTAAAAGTATCGATGCTTATTCCAGATGTTTTTAATGTTTTCAACACCTTTAAAAACAAGAGTCAAGCCATTAAAAATAAAAACAAATCCTTTTTAAAACCTTCAAATATTTATTTCATTTCTAAAATTTATCTTAAGGTAAAAAATTTTTTAAAAATATTTTGAATAAAATTGATAGAATTTGTATTTAATGTGTATAAAATATTTATAAATTTATATAATAAAAATATTCTTTTGAACATATTTCTTTTTCCTTTTCAAGAATGTTTTCTGACATTGAATTCAGTTGTAATTTAAAAATATTTTCGACATTAAAACACTTTTTTATCAATCTCTCAAGAGTTCAATATTAAATTTACTTTCATCAATACATTTATTGATGTTTAAATATTGAATTTGTTAGTTTTTTCACTCATAGAAATGACGTAGAAATAAAAAATAAATTTAAATATTTTTTTATTATAAAAAATTTACCCCCAATTTTCATTACAAAAAAAAAAACCTTCAGAAATATCAGTTTTTCCTTAAAATAGTAATTTTACATTGCCTTTTCTCTTTTACCTGCTAATTGTTTAATTAGTGTGGGTGGAGCTTTTTTTTTTTCTCCCTCTTGTCTTTTATTCCTGGATTGATGGCTAAATTCATCTAAAAGATGTTGAATGCCTTCTTTGGGAAGAAGACAAAATAACAAACCTTTTTCCTTTCACTATCTTCCTTCCATCATTTCCTCATCTTTTTCTGCTGCTAATTTTTTCTTACATTTCTATTTCTTTCCCTAAGATTTAAATCCAATATTTATTTCCTTTTTAATTCAAATAAACCAGTTTCCTGAAAGGAGAGAAAAAAAACTATCTAAATTATTTTCTTTTTTTTTCGATCCTTAAATTAGGATCTACTTCTCCTACTCAGAACTTATTTGATCCTCTTCTTATTTTGTCCATTCTTTTCAAAATCTACCACCTAACCACCCGAGGGGACCAAGTGTCCCAGAAAAAAAAAAAGACAAATGAAGCTGCAGCCAAACTCAAAGAAGACAAACCCCGACAACAATTTCTTTCCAATATAAACAGATTATTTCTGTTTTAAAAAGCAATGTTCATTTTTGTAAAGAATTACACTATTTTGGAGGGGTTTGTCCATGCAAATAATAATAATGCCTGTGATCTTGAATTTTTGGCTAAAGGTTTTTCCTCAAAGAAAATATCTGACCAGTCCCTAATTCCTGGCGCAATTTTTTTTACTTAAAAAAAAAGAAAATTGAAGTGACTGGATCATAATTCAAGGTCATTTTGATGAAACAATATGAATTTTGTTGTTGTTGAGCATTCAACAAGAAGACACTTGCTTGAAAAAGTCTTAAAATAAATAAATAAACCTTTTCCCTATTTCTTAATACAAAATCCTCTCTTTCTCCTTGTGATGTTGAGTTCTTCTTCTTCATCATTTCAAACATCATCTCTTCCTCCTCATCTTTAACTTACAAGCAAGGTTGAATTTAAGAAAAATATGTTTGAGAAATTTGTGCATTCCTCTTACTCTGGTTTAATTCAAATTATTCGTCATGATCTTTATTATCTTTCACTTTTTTTCTTAGAATATTGCAACTGCTTTCTATCCCCCCCCCCCTCTCGCAAGTTTGTGCTTTGTGTGAAATGGCAATCATAATCTGACCATCCGATAATAATACCTAACCTTTTCCCATCATGGAATGATCCCCCCCCCCCGCGCCAACTTTTTTTTTTTTAAACCCCTGGGGAAATGTTCCGTCTTTTCTTTATATTCTTGTTTAGTGTGTAATAATGCAGAACTAAAAAAAACTCTAAGAAGTCATTCGATTTTATCTTTGATTGATCCGGACTCTGAGGGAGAATGATCATTGTAGTGTAGTAGTCGACTTGGCAGAATCCCAAAGGTCGAATGCTCGACAAAAGAACGGGCTTATTTGCTAACAATTGATATTTAAAAAAAAGTTCTCAACAATATATTTTATTTTATTTTTTTAACTAACAAGTTAAAAACTCATGTTTTAGCCTATAAAAACTGTTTCCGATTTGCTTTGTATGATGTACTTAAAGATTCGCATCAGGAGTCTTTAAGAAAGATGAGACTCTCATCCCCCCCCCTTCTAACTTTTTGCCCAATGCCAGGCCCCATCGATTTTTGGCAAAGTAACAGGGATTTGCACACACACACACACACACACTTCTGAATCATTTTCTTTTCTTCAATGAAATTTCTAAGGAAGGTTTTGGAAAATGTCTGCCCTTCCACTTAAATCTTAGCAATGTGAGCCAATTACTACTGACTCAATCAGCCACAACTGGACCTAATTGGATTTTTTTTTACTCTAGTCCAGTTAGTATCTTGCTTTATAAGACTTTAATAAATCCAGTGCTTTCTTTTCTTCCTCAAGGAAAATGTCTATTCTCGTATTATTATGGTTTTTCTTTTTTTTTTTTTTTTTTTATTTTAACCGAATACTTTTGACAGCATGAATATTTCAAAATCATAGGTGGGGGAAAAGGAAATAGCTTTTGAATGTCATCATCACCACAGTCTATGAGGTAATAACTTCCGTCCTTTAGTAGTAGTAGTAGTCGTAAAATCATTGTTAGAGTGGTGAGTTCGATCTTTGCTCTAGTAAGAAGCTCAATTTTGTGGCTTTGTACCACATCTTTTTTCCGATTTGATTTTTTTTTTTTTTTTTTTTAAAAAGGCACTCGATGAAGTCGGCCAAGTCAATCAATGAAGGAAGGATCTCTCTCCTCGTCTGTCTCAATAAAAAGCATTCGACATAAAAATGATTTTTAAATTTAAAAAAAAAATGTCCTAATCGTTTTTGTAGAAATTATTTAAATTCTCTAATAACAGTAAGAAACATGTTTGTTTTTTTTGTTTTTTTTTTTTTCGCAAAGTGCATCTCAAAGTAAATCCTCTCTAGTCTCTAATTACTTTTTTGTTGCTGTAGGGACTGTAGCAGTTGTCTTATTTGCTCTACCTTTCCCTTGTCCCCAGATGGGATCGAACCGTTGAAATTAGAATACAATGGTTCCTTAATCATTGCACCTAAGTGAACTTTCAAACCCCTCGGCTCACCTATAGGAAATAGATTCGATTTTTTAATCTTTGTTCTCGTGTCATCAAAGTGCAAACAAAGATTGTTTTTCTCTAAAAACATCTACCTGGCTGGCTTTGTTAATGGAAAATATGTCCGTCTTAGGCTCCCTCCTTCTTCTTCTATGTACGATGTTTACGTTTACACAAGTTTTATTTGATCCTCCTTCTTGCCCGACCATGTCATACTATTTTTATCATCTAAGGCATTTCAGTCATCTAACCACTTGCATTCCACAAACCTTCCTTCCTTCCGCCAAGAAGAAATCAACCTCATCAATAGTTTTTATTTTTCTCAAAAGAAACTAAAACTAAAAACCGTTGGCTTTATTCTCCGAATTACATCACGTTTTAACAACAACAAAAAATACTTTACTCTCACAATATCTGAAGTAAAAATGTTTGTGTAAAATCGCATTCGATAGAAAATAAAAACTTCTAAATTTCATACAGAAGGTATTTTTCCTCCTGCCATCCTAGCACAGAAACATTATTCCTCTACCTTTTTTTTCCTTTTTAGAGAATTCTTTAAACAAATGCAAAAAATGATTATATAAAAAAAAATTATCCTTTCTGAATAATTTCTTCTTGAGGAAGCAATGTTGTAACACTAGACAGCTTCCCCTCCCTCGACCATTTCTACTTAAGTGTGCAGACATCAATCTTCATAAGAGCCTTTTTTTCTTAAGTCTAGCTAGCTAGCTTGAAAGTCTAGGAATTGTCAAAATACCTGTTTGTGCAAAGATAAATTACAATGAATATAATTCCAATTATCTTTTGCTTTTTTTTTTTTTTTTTAAATTTCCAACCATTGGCACTGGTAGGAAATGAAAGAACTCCCTCCCAGCCATAGGAAAATAATCTTCCTTTTAGACTCCTGCTGTGTGTGTGTGTGTGTGACGGAGGAAATGGGTGGGGGTCGAGAAATGATTAGCAAATTAGTGAATTCGATTCTCCCTATCGTGGACTTTGTAACTTGGCTCAATTTAACTCTGTGAATCGTGTCGCCGTAGGGCAATAGTTAGCAAACGCTTCTTCAAAGTTCGATCCTCACTAGGTGCATCGAACTAAATCTGATTAAATGTGGCTCGTAGGTTGATTCAAGCAAACCTTGACGCATGATGAAGGCAACCAGGGTGGTTATTCAGTGTTGGGTAGTAGATAATATTGACTTTAAATGGTGGAGATGGCTGCTGTCTCTCTTTTTTTTTTTTAGTACTAGTATTCATTCAACTAAATTCAGCCGCCAGTGACTGTGAAATCAATAAGGATTACTAACAACGTTAGCAGCAGAGAAGGCAGTAGTCGAGGATTTACAAGTTTTTCATCAAATACTGCTGCAAACATTATGTACTCGATCTGTCAAGATCCTGAT